AGGAAATGACATACCACCGGAAGCCACAGGTGACAAAGATAAACCTCACTATTCAAGACCACATCTTAAAAGCAGTGATTCCAGGGTGAACCCTACACTACACCACAACTATGGCTCACAGAACCAGTGCTGGTGGGCTGGTTCTCGCTTGGTGCCTTTGAGAACCTGTCAACGCTTCCACCAGTTTCCAAAAAAAAGAAAAAAGAACAGAACTGATGTTAAGTAGTGCAAAGGTTCATATCCATTCCGTTTTTGGATTTATTTTGATTTTAAGTTTTTAAGTTGGTTTTAAACGACCTAGTTTCTGATTACGTTTTTATAAGCTGCGGAACCAAAAAAATGAGCCTTTAAGTCTCAATTTTTCAGAGTATGACTCATTGCGCCCCAACTCTCTTGCCTGTAGCCGCCTTTGTCTCCGTAAAGGTTCCCCCGTCTGAGTTTATTCTCGTTCCGAGTTTTACCGCTGTCCTTTTAAGGATTGCACAATAAGAGTCTGCTAAAAACTGAACTTTGCTGTCTTTATGATCTCTTCACCATTTGAGCGCCACATCTTATTTATTCTATCAGTGACATGTTTATAAACTACTATTAAATCTGGCCAGTAGATTGTTTTTATACTGTGGAAAACAAAAGATCAATGTAACGTTATTTCGCGAATAAGTTGGCAAGTTGTTTCACTGTCAGCACCGGTGACAAAAGAAAAACTATTGGTTATGGATTAAATTTTCCGGGTATGCAAAAGGTTTGGACGCACTTTCACCAATGTAACAGTTCCAAATTTTGAGACCAGCTTGTCTATGGTGGTATGCTGGAGCAGTTTTTTCTGGCCTAGGGCCAGTGTTTTTTTGCGGTGGAAATGCGCGGAACCAGTTCTGGATTGGAAAAAAGCCCAGCACCGCATTTGTGGAAACGAGGAATTAGAGCATCACAATGTCTGGGTTGAGAGGCCAGGATGACATTTCCCCAAGCTGAGGTCAGAACTTGGTCCAGACCATTGGAACATCTTCCTGTTATTCTCGGAAAACCTAAATACTGGCATTTTGCGGCAGCCATCTTCTGTCAGCTGAGAGGGTGTCCCACATCATCCTGATTTTGGATCACGTGCCATGGATACCCCACTAACATGTGTCAGTACAGAACAGAAATACTTTACCCCCATGGGGAAATTGGGTAGTTCTCACATAGCCCATCATGCTTTCCAATACAGAAACAGGTGAGAGCAAGTTTTGGGGTCAGCCAGTTTCCAGCCTCCCTGGAGAAATTGGGGCTAAAGGCCTTGATCAAGAGCCCCATGATGACGTCGCTCTGTCGACCATGGCACTTGAACCAGTGACCCAATCACAGGTACAGAGTCCTAACAGCAGAGCCCCACACCGTGCCAAGTGAGCCACAGACTAACAGATGCAACCAGAGCACCTCCAAGCCCTATAAGTATCACAACCAGAGCACCACCTGTTCAGGCACACCAAAAGGGGGGGGCGGGGCTTACCTTGATGGGTGGAAGGCAGGACGACCTGCTGGGTATGTGCCTGTACCTGGGCCTGGGGGGCATGCTGATGCGGCTGCGCATGTAGGGTCTGCTCCTCCGAGTGGAAACCCTCCACCGCCTTCGACTGCATCAGCTTACTCTCCCACAGCTGCCGGGGTGGGGGGTGTCATTGAGCAAGAGTCACAGCAGGCCAGCCAAATATACTCTAAACTGCGAAAATAAACCTCTCCCTCACTCTCCCGTTAATAGAAAATGGGCCTGATGAAGGAGAGTTTATCAGACAAGTCGCAAAGGACCAGAGGGCGACAAACTGACCATCTGGCCCAACACAGCTAAACCCATTTCAAGTATACATCACCTTGCAATAACTTTAGAATATTACCAGCCAACTTCACCCACTAGAACTCAGCTATTTTAACACTTTAGAAATAAAAGGTGAAAACAAAAGTTATACCGTTTTCAGATCCTGTAGGATCTGTTCATCGACACCCTCATCCAGGAAGAGCTCCCGCACGTCATTAATCACATCCTCAATGACACTCCGATAGAGTTTAGGCTGGGGGGGGAGGAAAACAAGTCACATGAACCTAAAGCAGTACAAAGGAACCTTAAGGCATGACAAACGCAGCTTCGGTTTCTAAGGAAACCCCAGAGCAGCACCATGACAACCATAAGCCACCATGGTGCCATGCTGCTCTTTTGATTCCCCCCCATTGTCCCTCAGTCTTCTGATGCAGACAAGTAAGGAAGCAACCATCGAATCATCATCATCACATGGGCATTCACACAAGAGGGAACAACCAGCCCTTCAGAGTCCGAGGGCCAGCAGAGGACATAAGGTGCCCTGTTTATGGGACCGAACATGATGGGCAAACTACCTAAAATGCTTCACAACTAATGTGGGGTGTTCAAAAAAAAAATTGGGCAGCTACTATTGTACTTCTAACTTGATAATTATGGGCAAATAAAGGTGATCACTGACTGACAAAAGGGACAATTCACTACGCACTCAGGTTATAGCAAATTGCCCAAAACAGTTTATTCAACACGTCCAAATAAAGCCTGCATTCCCCGAGAAGTCACACTGACCTACACTCACACAGCCCAAATGTAACCTTCCACAACATTTTCATAACCCATTGCCACCCAAGGTTATAAATTCTATCTACATATACAGACACAAGTCTGTCCACAGAAATAGCATGTCTAATGTGAGGAAGGTCATGGAGGAAAGAAAAATAAAACCTTAAGAGGCTGCCCCCCCACTGGCTTTTATTACCCAGCAATTGATTTAGTGTTAAGTTAAAAAAAAGTAAATCATTTAAATACATTTAAAATAAGACATGGTGATGCTTTCTAGAGACACAATCTGAAAACTGGGGGAATTCCTGTGTTTGTGAAACCGTTCTGAATTCACCAAAAACATACAGCAGAACAAGTCACTACATGCGTTTTCACAACCCGAGGGGGGGAAAGCAGGGATCTGACCTCACATTTGTCAAATAACAAGCAGATCAACACAGCTGCAGCTGGCACCCAGATACACTAAAGAGCTTTAAGGATGTCCAATTAGATTTTTGTTTCATTTGATCTAAACAATGGGAGTACTAACAATGTTATTTAATAAGCAGCGTTATTTAAAAATGCATGTCTTTTCTAATCTACATGGCAGTACTGAATTTCCATACTAATGTGATTCTAAATAAGCAAAAGCACGCATAGGACGGCGACTTAGCGATAACTAAACGCCGGGATTCATCGGCTGCTAAAGGTATCGCGGGGATCGGAGCATCGACCCCCCCATCCCACCCCGACCATCCGCAGGCATGAGGGAGGCATCCCTAACACGGACGGCTAGATGCGGATCCGCTCTTCGCTCCGCGAATAAAACGCGCTTGGAGGCCCGTTTATGGACATCGATATCCTTTCGCTGCAACGTTACAATATTAATTTCACCAATTTAAGAAGCAGAGCGGTGGGGATGTGCGCGCACGTCCGCCGCTATGAGCGGACCTCCCTCCCTCAGCCCGACGGCTCTCTATTTAAAGGACAATCCGCCGGTTTATATGGAGAGCCGGTGACGTAGCGTTGAATAGCACCTTCCCATCCCGGGCGGTCTATATTAGAGAGCCGCTATGGCTCTATATAAGCCAAGAGCAGGAGCGGCGGAGGGTCAGAGCCGCCGGGCGGGCGAAGGGAAGGAAAGCCGCGGCGATCGGGCGCCGCCGTACCCACGCCTCTAACCCGCAGCCGCCATTTATTATGTCCGGCAAGGTGGTGTGTGCGTTTACTGGATTTTCATTTGGTTATTTCTGTTTTGGAAGGAGGGTGGCAAAGAGTCGAACACAAAGAGGGGCTTGTGACCAAATGCACATCGAATAATTTTATGAAAGGGGGGTGGAAAATAATTTAGCAGCGAAACCCGAAACTGCAAAACGAGCAGCTTGGTTATATATATATTTTTGTAAAAAATCAGATCTGCCGTGGTGGGCGACGTCCACAAATGCGCTGGGCAGTACTGCGGGAGATGGTGCTTTCCGACTGGGGACACAGATAAGACCGCCTCGTTAAACCGGACGCCGAGACATTTAATGTTGAATGCGCTTGCCCCACTTCTGCAATAAAAACAGCGATTTACTAGGGGGGTGGGAAAAAAAACAGATGTTTGGACGCCAGCTAGCGTTAGACGGACAGAGATGGGGAGTACGGGACGGACACAAGCCTATCCAGCCACCACCGACCCGTTAGCATTAAATCACATTTAGTATAAAAAGTCACCCGGCAAAGAGGGCGGCTTATCCACAAGATCACACTCGACATCCCCCCTCCCGATCGCAGCATAAAGCCAGAGTAGAGACGGCGTCTCCGAAAACGAGTCAAAATCCGTCTCGAAAGAGGGAGGGGAAAAAAGAGAAAAGTTGAAGAAATGGCCGCTTGCGGCTAGCTGACACCCCGCCACACGAACGCGGCCCGCCGGGCTGAAAACACGGCACATTCAGCAGACCCTCCACCACGAAGCGGCAGCGCGATCGGCACACAGCGGACAGGCAGAGAGGATTCACTCGGCGCCGGAGGTCGGGCCGCACGGAAGGCCGGTCCTTACCACTGGGTTAGAGTTAGCCGAGCTCGCCATTACTAGCGGAGTATTAAAAACCCAGAAGGAAAGCAAGCGGACGCCAAAGCACACGGGAAACGGCTAACACCTGGAGCTTAAAACCTCAAAAGAATTCGACATCACGCTCTTGTCACATTAATAAAAACAAAATAAAAGCAAATTAAAAAATCGCGAATTGATCGCAAGCTTATCGTTAATCCCAAGGCTGCGTCGCTCAGCCGTCCTTCTTGCGCCGAGGCCCTCCTTTATATACGGAGCATGAAGCTGCAAATGCGCGAGACACAGGGCAGACTCCAGCCGGCCATTAAATGAAATATCGCGAGAGTAGCGAGGCGCCAGTTGCGGGCGGATTACGCGCTATTAACATACGGATACAGCTCGCGTTCTCGGGAATATGTTTTTTTTGTGCGCGCGTCTGACAGCCGGAATGAAATTAACGCAGAACACTAACATTTAACCATTTTGCCGCTTCATTATTAAACGGTTATGATTATGGCAGTTAAAGTTATTTCTGCGATCTTTCTTTACCAAAAACAGTTTTGCATAACTGTATACATGTGAATATTGATTAATATGTTATTTTATTCAGACTTATATGTAAGTGAAAATGTGCCCTTTTTACACAGACAATACGTTAATTTCTAAATTTCATTAACCGGGTCACAAAAGCAAAGTTTGAAGTGAGTAACAGCCATTTTCTATACTTTTACAACAAGCAGTTAAGAAATAACACATACTATCCAGGAACAAAATTTGTGTTGCACAATGTAATTAAAAAAAATAAATTTCGTGTTATTGAAAAGTGTGTCAACACATTCACCCAGCGATCCTTCCGAAGGCCCAGTATTTAACTGCTGTGAAAGCAAGCATACAGTTTCAGGGCCGAGAAAGAATGTTACCATTCAAGTCCGTCTGGACAGGCAGACAGTCAGAGAAAAGAGGGTGACACTGACAGGGAAGAGTAACTAGTGACTTAGGTGTAGTATTGATCTTAGCCACAAGAGGGCAGCACATTACAAAGATTAAATGTTTTGCGTAAAGTCTCTCGAAATGGGACTCAAACTGCGGGGTCCCAAAATGTGTCGTGGGGCGAAGGATTTAAATGGGCGACTTTCCAAAGGTGTCTCCGGACAAAAACTTTCAGAACCACTGCTTTAGCGGAACTGCGCATTTGAAAGGAGGCTTTTAAAAATACTATTACATACCTTCACAATTCAGGCCTACATGCACTGTGTATGTACATTTTGTCATGACATATTGTAGTACTACTTGGAATAATGGCATTTACACTTAAATGCTCGGTATTTTGTGTTTCTGTAAATTTTGAAATGTTTAGATCAATAATTGCAGGGAGAATATCTGTTAAAAGTGTTTAAAACGCAGCTTTGAATGGAAGACTTCCATCCACTCTAATTTCTTACATACACAGAAAATATTCTCTTTTTAAAGTTGATTAATTCATGTTCTATCTAAAAATAACTACAGTCATTGGCCTTCTTACCTGCTATTTTTCCTTGATTTTTTTCTGAGAGAAAATGAGCATTATTCAGAAACAAAGACTGGGGAGAATTGAAAAGAACAGAAAGTGCGGCATCTACTGTTATACTGCAGATTCTATGCAGCGCTCTTTCTCATCTCAAGTTCTCAATCCTTTTATCCTGATAATTAAAATTAGAAGCTCATTTTATTTTTGGCCTTATTTACCTTAATGGGATACACAGAATTATGTAACAAAAATGAAACAAAAAAACTTTCATCTGTATTTCATACACTTGTTTTGCAACCATCTGAAATCTCTAGATCCTGTGTCTTACCTGATAATACATCAACACAATTGTTGGGAAAATAAATAATAAACCAATTTTTATTATCACCATGGAAACTAGCTGTTTCTCTCACTGCCTCATAAATTATCATGGGGGAATTAGCTTAGACATGCACTGTGGCTGATCAGCCAATTGATGCAAGCAGAACAAAACAACATTGTTTATTCCATCGACAAAATATTATTCCATCTACTAAGAGAGACTTGCGCACACAGACCCACAGATAGATCCACGCAGCATTCTGACAGCTCTGTACATCACTACCGTTGCGAGAGGAATAGAGAAGCAGGGATCACTTGGAGACAGAACTCCAGCCTCGGTGATGTGATTGATGCTCTCCTTGCTTCCTCCCTTTGAGCGCCTTTGGGTGAGCATTGACTGCATCTCCTAATGTTTGGACTTTGTTTCCATAGCTACACTTTTGTTGCATTTCAGCTCAGAAATACTTGATATATCAAAAAATAGTTATGTGCTTATATATATATATATATATATAAACACATTTCTTGTCTCCCTTAATGAGCAGTCATCTGCCTGTAGAATCATTATTACGGATATAAATGTATTTTCTTGTTAGGCTCTGACACTTTAGTTGTAATATAATTAGGCAGTGTGAAGTTTGACTGTCAATCCCATTTTACCATCCATCCATCTATTGTATCTTCCAGCTGCTTATTCTGGACAGGGTGACAGGGATGCCTGGAACCTATCTCAGGCAGCTCCAAGCACTGGGCTCCGACCCACCACCCACCGCATCCCCGTCCAATGCAGACCACATACACTCACACACTACAGGCAATCTAGAGATACCAGTTAGCCGAACCGCATGTCTTTGAACTGCAGAGAGAAACTTGTGTATCTGGAGAAAACCCGTACAACATGGAGAGAACGCACAAACCACACGCACACTGTGATCTGTGTCATAAACACTCCATTGCCTTATGGATGGCAAATCCTACTCTCACCATCCATCCATCCATCCATCCATCCATCCCAGGAGTCACAGGGCACAAGGTAGCAGGCACCTTAAACAGAATTCTGCTCCATCACATGACTCACACACATACATTCACACAGAATAACATGCTATAGGCATTTTGCCTAAAGTGCATGTATTTGGGCTATAGGAGGAAATGTCCTACCAAACAGAATGGGAGCATGAATCGAACCCGTAACCTGAGAGGTGCTGCTGACCCAAACCATCAGGCTGCCTCCATCATCACTATTCTTCAAATCCCTTTTCAAATATTCTTCATTTGAACAGCTCACTGCTGACTTTCCGGCTTCCTTTCAAGCTTCAGTCTGGTTGATGAAAGGCACTGAAGCATCTTAATTCACTCCGTTATGTAACATCGGCAGATTATAACGTCAGTATCAGACTCAAGGCTTGCAACAAGGTGCATTCACTTTTCTTATATTGGAATGACCCATGTTACGAAAAATATAATTTCAGGGTTCATATTAAAGTTTATGACGAAACTTTAGTCCAAAATAAAAATGAGGCAATTTAGAGTTCTCAGAACGTTCAATATTATGTTGACGGATGCAAGTATGATATTTAAGTGAAAATTATTATTAGAAAAAACATTATTATACTTGTGACCAATAGATGGCAGGAGAGTTCATGAGCTGAGAGAGGCTTCCGTGTAATTTTGCCTGTGCGGTGAGATAGACGTAACTCCCCGCTGTTTATTAAGTTATCTCTACGGAGCTGCTACGCAGTCATCGGCGCAGTAATAATCCGTGTTTAAAGAGGTAAATAACAATAGCTGTGATTGTTATACGCGTTTTGCTTATGAGAGCTTTCTGTGTTATTTTGCGCAAGTAAAAGCGTGTAATCACTGTGTTCGGTCGACGCCATTCGGCAGAGTTCGGTCATGCAGCCAGCGAGCTGTTTGGTCTGCAGGCATCACATAAGACACGGACTTCTAATGCATGATACCGTTCGTTTTACTCTCAGAAGGAAATTTGTTCGAGCAGCCATGAGCAAAACCAAAAACTTTTAATTGCTCAAGGAAAATAGATGAAAGGGATATCTTTATGGGTAAAGTTAGGGGAAAAGGGGTTTGAAAAAGATTAAAGAATAACAATAATGACTATACTCATAGGATAGCTGATAGTACAGCCATTAAAAAAATGGAACAGAAGGCCGCCTATGCGGTTCCCAGAACAGCGCTACTGTCCTGCTCCTGACAAGGGTACCTACTCCGGATTATTGCAGCATTACTAAGAACAATAAGAAGAACATAATAATAATGTGTTTCATAATATAATGAATGTATAAGTGGCACATAGATCGTTCTTCTGAAAATAACTGCGCAGCATTTCCTCGTGAGTCTAAATCACGGTGACCACTCACTAACCGTCACCACCGCGGGAAAATGGCAAGGAAGAGTAGGGGGGGAAGCAAAGTCAACTGGAGGCCCATTTGCAGACATTCACAGTCTGATCGAGCTTAAAGACACGGACGTCAAAAAGGCTCACCCAGCGCAACATCTAATTATTACATTTGCAGCAATAAGAGCCAATTTGGCTAAATCTTGCAGTAATTAATAGGTACGAACGTCAAGCTGTCCTCGGATCATTTGAACATGTCTGTTCAGGATTTCAGTTTACTCAGAATTCATTATGACGTGCTCTCTCTGAATGTCTAAATCGAGAGAATGGAAGATGTTAAGTTTCCCCGTTATTTACGGCAGAGCATCTCTTAAAAGCCCCCTTTAACACACACTGGACATGTAACACACCCTTTAACAGTTAGAGGACAGACCTAAAGGTCTGCCTTCTGAAAGAATCCCACTAGTCACACGAGAGAATGGGTGATGGGAATGGAGGTGATAGGACATTAATAACTGCTTGGATACATTTAAATCAGAGTAATAATCTGTCTTAATTATTGTCCAATGGGAGCTGACTGTGGTGGAGGCAGAGTACTAGCAATTCATGTTTCTCTCTTTTTTTTCCCAGGGGTCATGTGACCTTGCACGTAGGCAGTTCCACAGAATTATAAAGATAGAAACTTGCTCTCTTGCTCCTTTCCCACGTCCTCATGCGCAGCCACGACTGCCCTCCCCTCCCGATGAAGTGTTTCTAATCCAGGCGCAGCCATGCCCCCAGTCGTCTTCGTCCTATGCTGCCATTTCTGGGCCTGTGGCCTGTGCTTGGCCCAGAGCCGGGCTCCACAGTTTGGCCTGGACTTCAGTGCTTGGCCAGCGCTGGATCTCCAACGTACCCCTCCCCCCCCAACACACACCCCCCTCTTGTCACCGCAGGCCCAAGATGTTACCAGGTGGTTTCCTGCTGGTTGTGGATGTTCTTCATGTCTACCTGGACCTGGAGCTCTCCACGGCAACTGGAGGGGTTCGATCGGAGCGAGGGCGGGGGGGGGGGAGGGGAATTGGTGAGGGTCATAAGCTGTTTCAGGCTGTTCGGGAGTCAAGGTTAGTGGAAACAGCACCTCCCCGCTGCCTGTTCATTCATTACTCATTCTGCCAATTTATCCCTCTGGTTAACCTACTT